GCCCCGCCGCGCGCCGTCCAGCCGCCTCTCCTCAGCTTGGTCCTCCAGCGTCCACTACCCAGCACTGCTCCCAGGGGGCGCCCATTTTCCACTTGACAGTTCCTATTTCAACCTGAAGTAGGCGCTGTATACTGCCTGGCCTCGTCTCCAGCCGGCCTTGGAGGCATCCCCTTAAGACACCTCAGCCGCCAAAGCAAATGGTACTGCTTCCCACTTCTGTGCCTTCTTACCCGCCTTCTTGATTTTCCTTCTCTGTCTGGAAAACTACTCACTTTTGACTCCAAGGACTTCGCTCTCCTGTATTTGAGAGGAGAAGGTTAGAGGGCCCTGGGGAAGACTTGGTAGGTGTGGTTTTTCTGTCAGAGGAAGTTAACGCTGGCAAGTATGGTGTGAAGTCCTAAGTTTGCAGGGACTGGCCTCAGGCTGAACTGAGAGCCTCCTTCTAGCTCACACTTTAGCCGTCAGGAAATCCTTGGTTGCCAAAGGATTGTCTCCTGTATGTCCTCACTGCTTTAGCTTCGGCTTGCACGATTACTTCAGGGCTTCCTCTGCTTGTGCTGCCCTTCTCCTGTCGGCACCCAATTCATTATTCATCCTTCAGATATCTGTTTAAATGTCACTGTCCCATCGAAGCCTTCCTGTAATTCTCAGATGAGATTCATTTATTAACTCTTCCACTAGATTGTTTTATGAGGAGTTCATGTCACATGTTATGTGCTTTCAGCATCTCATTCCATCTTCAAGAATCCTGTGAGGTAGAATCCCACTTTATAGATGAAAAAACTGGAATTTAGAACAGATGAGTGGTAGAGTCAGGATTCAAACCCAATACTCCAGAGCCCATCATAACTACTGCAACATCCACATACTGATCAAATCCAGCCCATGTGTGCATTTAGTTTGGCATAGCAACAACGAATTTCTCATGCAAAAATAGATTTCCACTTTCACTCAAAATCCTGAAATCTAGCAACGATAAGCCTTCATTCCTGAACAAGAAACAGCTGGAGCTGAGCTGTGGCTGACCCTTTTGGATGAGACATGTATTTCACAGTTCAACACAGTCCCCACCTAGCTTGCTTCAGTTCTAATGTAAGCATTATTGACTCCACTCCATTAACCAAGACAACCAAAATAAGCCTATTGAGGACCAAGGCCATTTATTACACTGTATAGCACTGCAGTGCCAAGTACTGTGCCTGTACCCACAGCTGGGTAGGTAAGGCGATGGCAGAGTGAGATCGCATATAAAGATAGAAAGAAAACTTTTACTTTTCACTTTATAACCTACTCTACAGTTTGAAAATTTTATAATGAATGGATATTGTTTACATACTTAAAACCTGAGTTGAAAAATACTATAATCCAGCCATGTTGACAAAAATGATTGACCTTCTCAGACAGGTGAACTCAGGGAATATAGCACCCGTGAGCGTGGTTTCATTTGTACAAAAATGTTTGTTTTCTGACAACCTTACTTATGCATTTTGTTTAAGAACCTTTAGAAGGATGGCTCAAGAGGTCTGGTTTCCTATGTGAGGGCCTGGGCTGTGGGGCTGCAGACTAGTTTTAGAAATGGGTCGGATCATTCAGGCTCCAATGAGGAGCTGCTGAAAGGAAACGAGGGCACCTGCCTGCTTTCAGACCTATCTGCAGCCTTGAAATGAGCGCACTGAATTCAGGAATCGGAGCAGCCCAGTTATCCTGAGGTTCCTTTTTAACAGTGCCTGTTCTTCCTCCTAGATCTCTGTAGAAGTTCATGGCTTCTAAATCAGCCAAGTGGGCTAGGTTCTCTTACAGTAACAAATAACACCCAAGTCTGCTGCTTGCTCATGCTGCATGTCTAGCTTGGGTTAGTGGGATGGTCTGTTCATTCTGGTCACTCAGGGAATAAGGCAGAGAGAAGGGGCTCCATCTTGATTTAAGCTTCTATGATCGCTATCCAACCATGGATGGATGAGGTGAGGAAGACTTGGATTTTATAGCTTCTGCTCAGATGTGACACATGGCAGTTCTGCTCGTGTTGAATTGGCCAGTCCATAGCCTTATGTAACTTCAAAGAGGCAGAAAATGAAACTCCACGTGCCTAGAATGCTTGTGAGCAGCATGGCTTCCTGTGGATCCTGGGGGAAGTTAGGGCTGCCATATAGAAGATTTCTGGGCAAGCACCCACTATAAGACACTCACTGAGTGAGTTATTCTGTTGTCACATGGTATAGCTATATCCACATAAACTGGAGAGGAGTCTGATTTATGCTAAACTATGGTGGGCAAGTGAACAGAAAATGCCTCTGTGAGAGGTTGATGGTCACTGCATAGATCTGTCTCAGAAGTGAGATGCTCAGCAATGTATGTGGCTGCAGAATATATATATATAATCATAATTAAACATTTTTAAATACTTTTTAAAGTTTCCCATTACATTACCGTATGAACTAGAGAGAAGAATGGATTCCTCTCTAAGTAGAATGGAAAGAGCATGATCCTTTCTTGAAGAAGCCAACCAAGAGATGAGTCGAAATAAAAATGATTGTTGGTTATCATTGAAAATATTTAAATATCAATCTAAGACTAAATAATTAAGGAAATCAGGGTTTCTGAATAGAATATACTATAAATGCTATAACAGTAAACAAAATAGTAATATAACCAACAAAAATCTGTATGTGGGGGAAGAGAGTGAGAGAAATATTAAGAATTAACTGGAAGTAGCTAATGTGGCAGGAAGTCAACTAGCCATAACTACTTTTAAAACGTGTGGTTAATAATAATGAGTCCATCCTCCATGTTTTTTTAAAATCTTTTTTCTTAATCTTAAAGAAATCTTATAGGAAATATATTATTTGTAGTGAAGAAACATTTATCTGAAGTTCCACTGTTCTTGTAGTCACATCCATTTCTTTTTCTCTTGTTAAATTTAAATAAAGTTAAATGTAATGTTTTTGTTTTAAAATAGGACATATAGTATAAATTGATTGTTATAAATTTTTTTCTATTTACCTATGAGATGACTAGAATGATGTTCACCAAATGTTAATATAGTAACAGCTATTTCTGGTGGTAAAATAGGGGGGTTGGTTTCCTCTTGGTTCTTTTCTGGTTTGCTCGAACTTTTATAATGAACAGGTATCATTTTAACAAAACAATAAAGTCATTAGTTTTTTAAAGGTATATTTTTAAGAATGGAATTGCAGACTTGAATAGCCATTTATCTGAAGAAGATATACAGATAGCCAATAAGCACATGAAAGGATGCTCAATATCATTAGTTATTAGGGAAATGCAAATCAAAACTAATGAGAATACTACTTTGCATCCCTTAGGCTGAATATTATTTAAAAACAAACAGAAAGAAAATAACAAGTATTGGTCAGGATGTGAAGAAATTGGAATTCTTGTGCCTTGCTGATGGGAATGTAAAATAATGCAGCCACTGTTGAAGGCAGTATGGTAGGTCCTCAATAAATTAAACATTAATTTAATGTGTAATTAGTTAATTAAACAATTAAACATGGAATTACTATATGAACTAGCAATCCCACTTCTGCATATGTACCCAAAAGAATTGAAAGCAGGGACTGGAATAGATACTTGTGCACCCATGTTCATAGCAGCATTATTCACAAGAGCCAAAAGGTGGAAACAAAGTGTCCATTGATGGATGAATGAATGGATAAATAAAATCTGATATATACATGCAATAGGATATTAGTCAACCTTAAAAAGGAATGAAGTTCTGATACATACTATGACATGGATGAATCTTGAAAACAGTATGCTGAGTGAAAAAGCCAACACAAAAAGGACAAATATTCTATGATTCCGCTGACATGCAGTACCTACAGTAGCCAGTTTTATAGAAACAGAAAGTTGAATGATGGTTACCAGGGCTGGAGGAGGTGGAATGGGGAGTGTTTGTTTAATGGGTACAGAGTTTCAATTTGGGAAGATGAAAAAGTTCTGGAAATAAACAGTGGTGATGGTTGCACAGCAATGAATGTACTTATGCCACTAAACTGTACACTTAAAAATGATTAAAATGGTAAATTTTATGTTACACAAATTTTACTGCAATAACAAACTACTGTACTGTAATGTGGGAGGAATGTAATTGCAACAAGTTTTCTAGTTTAGAATGGATAGGGGTTAAATTATGCAATGAACTTAGAATATTTCCTGGAAACTTTTCAAACATATTTCAGTCACTTTTCACTTTCTTGTAAAAGTAGAATAAATAGATATAATTGTATAAAAACAACTAGTGGGGAATGATTTTGAGCAACATTGGTTAGTGAACAAAGCAAGATGCAATGTGTGTGGTTTGCTACTGTTTGTTTTTAAAAGGCAAAAACCAAACATATGTATTTGATCACAAATCCATAAATGTCCTTGAAAATATTCAGCAAAAACAAGTAGACATGGTTGCCTCTGGGGAGGGGAACTGGGTGGCTGGGGAACAGACATGGGAGGAAACCCTTTCACTGAACGGATGCCTTTGGGCCCCTTTGAATATTGAACCAATCAAATGAATTACTGGTTCCAAAATGACTGCATTACCTTTGTAAAGAATCACACACAATTATAAAATATCAAATGATGTTAAAAGCTTTCTGGAAAATTCTGATATGCTGGTTGAGGACCACTACCACTAGATTGAATAAATGGGTATTAAGCACCTCTTGTATGACAAGCCCCATGCTAGGCAGCTATGATGCAAAATTCCTGGCTTAATTAATCCAGGATGAGGAGGGAGCCTCAGGTTTCTGTCTGTCTAGAAATAAGGGTTTGGGATTTATTCTCCCCATAACCTAGGATCTGTAAGACCATGGCCTCCTGCACAATAATATCTCTTTTCCAAAATACCACGGAGCCCTCAACATCTATGTAATACCTCCACCAGCTGCCACTGGGCTTCCTTCCTTCATCCTCTTTGAAATGGGCAACATTCTCCATCTCTC